GTTGCTTCAAGCACGAGTATACAATTCTATCTCTCAATCAATTTGGAAAGCAAAAACTTCTGTTCTAAACCCAAAATAATCTCTTCCTTTTAGCCCAACATCTATTTTATGAGTAGATCTCAAAAATCTGAGGGTTTACATGGTCTTTAAAAGGTGCAGAACTCCCTTTCACATGACAGTAAAGTGTCTCACATTTATTGCTATGACTGACTCCATAAAAATCCAGTAGATACAATCTTGATACTGAATAGCCCCAAGTCAGTCAAAATGAATATTGACTAATAATGCATTGCTTTTATATGAAAGTCTAAAATACGAAGAAATACCTTTGATTCAAAGAACACCACCCACAGTAGGGATCCTTTGCAGATAAGCACTCTTGCTTGGAAACATATCTACCACAATTTGCAACTGGTATTCTTCTCACCTAAAATTAAAGAATACAATAACACACTGAATTAAAATGGCCTCCATAAACAGGGAAATTGAGGGTTACCATTAAAATCTGACAGCAACCAAGCACGATCCTTTTGGGAAAGTTTCCTTATGGACTCCCCTCTGCCAGAAGACCTTCAGATAGAAATATGCAGCCTGTTTTACACACACTGTATTTTGCCATTGGATGATGAAACTCCTCTGACAATGACAAGGCCAGCATGGTCAGAGTAATGCAGGAAAGACTAATTAGCATAGTCAATTATAGATAACAATAGAAAGGAGGTATATTTTATAAATAATGTTCTGCTTAGCAGAACATCGTTTTTCTCTCATCAGAACTGAGATTTTTAAATGATTGATGAAGGTGCATCCAAAAATGCATGCGCAAAACAAAATGCATCTGTGTTTGCATCACCATGTCAGGTAACTGCATGTGCACACTACAACAAATGCATGCAACTACTTAGCATGCATGAAAATGCCATTTCAATAAGTAAATGTAGATAATTGTGGCTATATTGTATGTAGCTATACTTGTACATTCAGCTTGAATATCCTAGCCAGCCATTTTCAGAAAAGAAAAGGAAAAAGAAAAAGAGACAGCTGATTACAAATACTGAATAGAAATACAAATAATGTTATTAATAACAATGTTAATTAATAATATTAGTAAGAAAAATATTCCTAATTCAAACAATTTTTTACAAATTTGCAAGAATTAAATGTCCCTGTATTCTGTGAACACAAACAAGGATACATGGCTTTCTGCAGAACTCTATTTACTGTTTTTTCCAGCCATATCTTGCAAAATTCTATTTACCTGAAGGTGTGTGAGATAACCAGCCAACACCCTAGAATACTGCAAGTTAAAAAAGACAAGTGTAGAAGCCTTCTTTAAGCTCCAAGAGATGATCAGAGAGAAGCTTTTATTCCTAAAAGCTGTTCCTTTTTAACAACTCGCTCTTTTATCAAAGCCAAAAAAAATTCAAGTCTTTACCATGAATATCCACATATACTTTTGACTGAAATTTGATTCTTTCTGCATTTGTGATAGATGGTTTATATCAGTCAGGAGTTCCCCAATCAACTTACCCACTCTCAGAGGGCAGGCTAAAATGCTATGTTCGCTGATGGAAAAGTGATTTTATTGTAAATGAAGGTAATCAAGTGTTGGGTGAAATCCTGCCCAGCTAAGATGGACAGCCAGTCCTTATGTTTTCACTGCCATCTTTCCCGCTGCTGGCAAGACAAAGGAATTTGCTGAGTTGATGCTCAGTAGCCCTGCTGCAGGAGGTGCTGCAACTACTGCACCAGCTCCTGGGTGCCGCTTGCTGCGTGAGATGCAGCTCTGATGCACCTAATCACATGCAGTAGCTCCCAGTGATTGCTGAACCCCTGGGCCTCACTATACATACACATTAATCTTTCCTGATTCTGAGTTTTTAGTTTCATTTTATTTTCTAAGGTCTATGCCTAACTGAAGATGATGAGAATTGTATCACTGATGTCAGCAGAACTAAGACTTCAAACCCGTCTCTCAAATGAAGAGATTTCTCCACATTAGAAACTCCATAATCGACTAGCAAACCCTGGCCTACCAATACTTTTATTGCTAATTCAGAGGAACTCTGTCTCCAAAGAGTCTACAAGTTTTGTTTGCTGCCTCTAAGCCTGATTCTGCATGATGCCTCCAGCAAAAAAGAGAAACAATGTCTCTCTCGACAGAATGAGGTGAAATAAGCAGGGGATTAAGGGTGTTGCTGGATCATAGCAACAGTGGGCAGCACCATGACAGTGGAAGCTCTTCTGAGCTCTGCAGAAGTGCAGCCCAAACTTAGACAACATAACCAGATATTAGATGTAAAGTTGGTAACTGCAATTTGGATATTTAAGGTCTAACTCTGATCCAAACTGATGCTTCACTTCTAAAGTGGCAGAAATCCTTAAAGCAGTAGTTTACTCGAATTCTTTTTAGTTTAGTATTGTGCTTACCTTATTGGCAGAGGACAGATAGATGTAGTTATTATCTACTGGGTCAAGTCGAAGTTTGGGGAAAATGGAGGTTTCTTCCTTAATTTCATATAAAACCTCTGGACAACTAGATTCCATATCCTCATTAAGAATAGCCTAAAACACATTAAATTAAATCATTCACAAGTCCTTTTATTGATCAGTCAGCATTTTAAACAAAAGCCTAATTTCAGCTATGCCAGAGCTTCTGAGATTATTTACTGTGCCCTGATTCAATTCACCTACTGCACTGGCTCTCACACAGCAGAAAGTTGGAGGGAAAAACCACCAGAAGAGAATTTCAACAGCATCCATGTCAGACACATTTTGCATTGAATCTGGCACTGGCTTAGTGTATGAAACATCCCTCCCACCAAGTATGTTCCTGATTGACGCAGAAACTGAATCTGGAAGAGACACCTATATCCCAAAGTCATAATGTGTTAAGTACTCCTACGAATGCAGAAGAAAGTATTAACCTTCAGAAAACAAACTAACATCCAGACACCCATAATGAGAAAAGGAATCTATGCAAGTTACTGACAACTCTCTTCAGGACAGAACTTTCTTTGTGGCTTCTGTGAGCATACATCTGAGGTGATATATCTTTTTCTTACCTTGCCCAACTCTACAGTTTTCCACCACCCTTCACACAGAATTCAAGAGATCCAGAGACCACAGAAACTTTATTTTGCATGTTAATAAGCACACCAACATTGATACAAGGTTTTCCATAAACAAGACTAAAAAAGTGAGATATGTTCATTGTCTCCACTGTGCTAAGGAGAGACGGAAGACTTCAATTTAATTTTTCATTATCAAAAGCACAGTGAAATCAAATGGTCACAAGTTTTTCAAGCTCTCTGCTATATTCCTCTCCAACTGTCTGCTTCATAAATCAAAAAATGAGAGTCATCCTTCGCAGTGTAGACAGGAAACGCACATTCTTGCAAAACCCAGAAAAAAATTAAAGCATAAAAGACAGTTGATTGGATGGTTGAAAAGTTTAATAACGAGATAAGATGACTTTCACTTCAAGGTGATTGATTTAAGCTAGCATAGGTCAACTATTCAGAAGCTAAGGCAAAATGAGTCTTGACTTTTCTCTCTAACAGAGAGATGCTAGTCACATCACACACATAAGCTAACAAACAAGTAAATATGCTCCCAAAATCTAACAATATTTAATATCTCTACTGGAAAACCAAAGCAAGGAATGAAACAAAAGACAGAGTAACCGAGAACTCTACAGTGCCTAAGTTGATACTGCAGGCATTAGCAGTTTAATAAAATGTTTCCATGATTTTAAGCAGGATACATAATTGCTTTTGAAAGTTATCTTGCACTCCAAGTAACAATACAGCAGTTGCTTCACAAACAAACAGAAAAGAAACAGAGATTCAGGGCATTACATCTGTTTATAACAGAGTGCCTAAACCAGGAAACATTTACCCACTTGAACACAGCAGGAGCTGATGGAGAAAGGAAGAACTGCCACACTCTGCTTACCTTCAGCAACTGTCCATCATCTGTTCCCAAAAAGAGAACTATCTGATTCAAAACAACTGTACCATAAACAGCCACTAATCCAGAGTGAATCAAGGTAGGTAATTTCTTGATTGATCGTGCCTCCTGAAAATCAGATATAAGAGAAAGCTGTTACAAAATCATTCACCTATATTGCAAAAGGTTAAGAAAAAGAAAAAGAAGACTCCCCGGAAAGATTCCGAGAGAACTCAACTTCAGACAATACTATGGGTAACATTTTAATTTTTACACAATTTCAGAGCAACTTCTTATTGGAAATGGCACATGAAACACAAAACTACTTCCTTTTTATACATGGCCACTGGTCATACCTGTGACAGAGATTACATCTACTGCAGCTAAATCACTGACCTCAGTGGGACACAGACTTGGCCTAACAGCAGCAAGTTACTTTGCAACAGAACTCTCTTTTTTGAGAACAGAATCTCTTTTTTGGGACACAATGCCAGTTCTTCTCAGTGAAGCCATGCTTTGCCATCACCTGACTGTACCTACCATGAAGGCTACAGATACACTCCGCTACTACTTTTAAAGGCATGCAAATATAATAGAGGAAGGAGGCACATCAGACACACAGAATTATACTTGTGTGTGTGTGTGTCAGAAAATGCGGAGCTTCATCCTCCCCTTTCTGGTTTCCTGCTTTACACTAAAGGAAGTTGAGACTTGCGTATCACATAAATATAAAAATGAGTTAAAGCAGTATAAAGTGCATGTCACGGAGAACATAATTGTACCTGTGCGAACTTTAAAACCAACACGATACCTCCAATCCTCCATCCAAGCTGGAAGAAGTTAAGTGACAAACACACGTAAACAGCTCATGAAAGAAAATATCATGCAGGAAATCCCTGTATCTTGTGGAAGGAAAAACCAAACCAAATAACACTGACTGTAAACAATCAAGTGCTGAAAGGAAGCCCTGATGTGGGAGAATAAGGTCATTCATCAGGTGAGAGGTGCTCCCTGCCTAGAACTCCCCACAAGACCGGATATCCCCCTAGCAATCAGCACCTCAGTTTTGCAGTCCTGTCGTTGCTTTAAGTCAATCTCTGTTGCAGATACTGCCAAAGGTGTGATCCCACCTGCTCTCCAAACAGGTCCAACGCCAGCCAAGCTCCACCTCCCCTTTCCCTCTGCTAATCTAATGCTTTCCAGTGAGCTTAGCTGAGGAAATCACGTGCCCAGAAAATGGTCTGTAAATCCATCTGCCTACCTGTCTAAATTTTCATTTGAGTCATTCTCCTCACCACCTGAACATGTGGCTGCCTGGACACCAGTGCTGGCACAATAGAGTGGCAGGCATGGAGAGGCGGGGGGAAGTGCTCAGGTAGGACCATGTGCTTGGGAACAAGCCCAGTAGGTCAGCTTACAAAACCCAGAATCTCAGCCTCAAGGACAGATTCCTTAACCTACAGGAACCCTCTGAGTGCAATACTTATTTCTCTTTAATGCACAAGACAAAGTGTGTCAATGGACCATTAAAACTGATATTTTGCAGAAAGATGAAGGCATTTCTCGAAGTTATGAAGCGCATCCATAACAGAGTAACAGCTGAATTCAACTCTCTTGCATGCTAGGATGCGGGCTTAACCCCAACAAGTCTTTCCACATAGAAATATTCTTTTTCTGAACGGCAGTCCCAAGTCAATTAAAATCTTTTTCAGTCATCTGAATTATTTTAATTAGCTCGCAAGAACAGCCACTTGGTGTAAAAGAAGAGTTGATTAACTTTCATATTTAAAGATTTGGGGTTTTTTTGTGAAGCATGAAGAAGACACAAGAACTGCCCTGTACTGGCACAGAACTTCAGTAAAACCCACTTAGACATGAGACTCCAGTACCACGGAGGTCTGTTTTAGACATGTGGGGGAAAAGGGGATTGCAAGCATTTTAAGATGGAAGAAGTTAACTTTCTTTTTTATTAGATCAGAAGGTAACAAAACTGCAGCACCGGTGCTCACAGTGAGCCTTTCCTCAGGCTAAGGAGTGAGGAGGTGAAGCTTCCAGGCTTCCATTTCCACTAGAATTAGGATTGTTTTTTCTGCAGTGCACCAGGTAGTAGTGTAAGGAAAACAAATCACCCTAGGTTCCTCGCAGACTGTACAATAAGATCACAGAAGAGGGGAGGACTCACCCATTCTCTGAAAACCTTTGCTGCCAGATTTTATTTTGACCCACATCCTAGTCAAATAACTAGTGTCATCTCAGTGCATCCTCCTCACCTGACTGAAGAACCAATACTGACAAGTGTGGGAGCCTCCTCCCCTCCCTCTGCTTGCTAGAGGGAGGGTCAATGCGACATTGAGCTAACAGAGATAAGAAGAGGGGGAATTCAGATGTGGGCAGTTACAACAAAAACTGCCTCCTCTCTTTTGCAACCTATTTCTCCAGCTTGCCTGTTCCCTCCAGGGTGCAACTGCTGCTTTCACCCTCCTGTCATCCCTTTTCCATGTGCATTTATTTTTTTAACAAGTCCTTTTACCTCTTCCACTGTGACTAATGGGGTTACAGCATTGTAGGGCCTTCCCAAGCTGTTTCTTTCACAGCTAAATCCATCCTTAAAATGCACTTACAGTCTAAACCTCCTTTATACTTGAAGAGTCACTCATTTCCATGATCATCTCTGTCTCTCCTGTAATATTTTCAGGCTCGTACAAAAACAAGAAAAGCAAAAGAAAAGACAAAATTCCTTGAGAAGACTGTTCTTTTTTTAATTCTTGTGTTCCACCTTCTGTTCTATTCTATAGTCCCCCAAAATCTTCACACGCAGAGGTAAGCCTACAGATCTCCTGAGTTAACTTACATTTTGCTTTTAAGTCCATCCCTTTATGCTGTTTGGTTACTGGCATGAAAGGTATTTATATTCATTTTCTACTTTGCATCTCATTTTCAGATTTATTTCCATTTGATTCCAGCTGCAGCAACCATATTCACACTTCTCCTTTCTGTCTTGATTTCCTCCTGATTATTTTACTTTGCCTGCCTCAGAGGGAAGGGCAATATTTTTAGCTCATGCAGCACTCAATATATTGCAGCTGGCCAAAAAGTAAAAATACAGGGTCTGAGCATCAGAGTGAATGAACAGATGCAGCTATACAAAAGGGCACAAGACTTGTCAGCAGCATATAGCAATAGTCAACACTGGAACAACACATCGATATTTTTCCTAGAGGGATAAAACTCCTGGAACCTTGTTCTTCTTTCTTATTTTCACCATCCTTCAACCTCCTGCATCTATTTTGATTATATCAGAGGGTAACAAACAAATATTGGTGCATGCAGTGAGCCTTTATTACAGCCAAGGAGATGAACTGTTCCAAACTTTTATTTCCATGAGGTTTTTTAATTTGTGTGCTGCATAGCAATGCCAGGTGGACAAACCATCCCAGGTGAGCAGACTGCAAAAAATCAAGGAGGATGACCAGGAAATGGGTGGGTCTTCACAGAGACCTTGCAGAGGCAAGATCCTGAGCCTCATGATGCAAGTCAGGAGGGACAGTCAGAGGCTATGCTTAAGCAAGACGTTGAAGGAGACCTCTGAGGCTGAGATGGGGGAGGCTAGAAATTTGTGACTTCTTGCAGCAGCTGAAACACTCCTTCTCTGCCCTCAGATCTGAGTTTACAGAATTGCTAAAGTGTCCTAATAACCAACGAGGGAGAACAAGCTCCATCAAGGAAGGCTTTGAAGCCAGCTGAGCTTGAACAGAGCATTTGCAGACATCAAGAGGAAGTGGTGGGTGACTGTGGTTGGAGATTCCCTCCTGTGAAAGATGAAGGCACACAACTGCTAAACCGTCATGCTGTTGCAACAGCATGTTGTGGTGTTTTTTTTTAGGGGCCCTGATCCATTACATTGCAGAGAGACTGCCATTGATTTTCTACTCCTTGGGCCGCTACCCATTGTTGCACATCCATGTGGACACCAAAGACATTGCCTAGTGCAGATTGGGACTACAGAGCTCAGGGGGCAAAGTGAAGGAGATAGGACTCCAGGCTTTGTTAACCCTCTGGGGCTAGTGAAGGGTGATGCTCTTCTGGATTTGCTACTCAAACAAGGAAGAACTGACTGGATATGTGATAATCAATGGCAGTCTTCACTGTAGTAACTATGAAATAACTGAGTTATGGATCCTGAGGGTGGTGAGGAAAGAACGGCAGAGGACAGAGCCAGAGATCAGACTCCAGCTTGTTCAGAGAACTGGTTGGTGGGATCCCCTGAGACACAGCTTTGAAGGCAAACAGAGCTCAGGAAAGCTAGCAGGTCTTTCAGGACAACCTCCTCCAAGCACAGAACTCAGGAAAACAAGCAGAAGTATAAGGAGATGGCCCCTAGCTAAGCAGGGAAGTTATGATTGAACGACAATGCAGAAAAGCAGTATACAGGAGGTGAAAGCAGGAACAGGTGACAAAGGAGGAACTGCCTGGACACGTAGGGATGGTGTTAGGAAAGGCCATGCTCATCTGGTTTTGAAATTGGCGAGCGATGCTATGGGCAGCAAGAAGAGTTTCTACCACCACATAAGCAACAAAAGAATAAACAATGAAAATGTGCACCACCTGTTGAATAGGTCAGGTGATTTACTGACAGTGGATGCAGACAACAGACTTCACCGGCAAGGTCTTGCGGTCCTTTGTACCTACAGAGTTCAAGGAGGAGAGAAACTACCAGTACTGGAACAAGATTAAGCCAGGGATCTCTTAAGAACTCTCAGCTTCTACAAGTCCCAGGGGGGCCGGATGGGATAAGTAGGAAGATGCTGAGAAACTGTTTGATGACACTGCACTGCCATTTTTTCATATTTCAAAAGTTGTGGAGATCAGGGGAAGTCGTCAACAACTGAATAAAGGCAAGTACCACACCCAACTTCAAAAGACAAGGATGTGCTGGGGAACTACACATTCATCAGTCTCACTTTTTCCCTGGGAAAATCATGGAGCAAATCCTCTTGGAAGCCATTTTTGGGCACAAGAAGAAGAAAGTGACTGGGAAAAGCCAGCAAAGATTCACCAAGGATAAATTTTTTTTAGACAGGAGGACTACTGGATGGTGTAAAAACTGATGGATCATCAGGCTCAAAGGG